TACGGTATATACATTATCAACAATGTGTTATTCCATCTAGTTAACGAGGTGGAGGCATTGTTTTGATTGGGGCTGTCCTTCAGTTGAAGGTTTTCGGACATATCTGCTTGATAAATGTCATAATGAACAGTAGACAATATAACCAAATCCAGTTTAAGCATGCAAAACCACGTGGTCTTCGAGTTATTATCCGAGGCTTCTATTATCAAGAAAGTAATTATAAAAATCACAGTTCGAAAATGGATAGAACTTATTTGGGTTAAAAAGAAAATGGAGAGTCAGGATCCTTTCAAAATTCGATCTGAAATCTTATTTAATAGGTATGCGTCTACAGGTGAGAACAGAAGGGATAAGTAGGATGACCAGAAAATGACCACGGTCTGTCTATCTTATGACAAGGGCCCATCGTAAAAGATTTCAGGTCTGAGGTCCATATAGAGAAATCTCTGCCGAGTAAAGCCTAACATGAGGGAGAATATGATCAAGAAAAAAAAACAAAACAATTTGAAATTTTGGGACCGACGTCATCAGAAAAAGAATTTTACAAGAACAAAATTTACTTGCATTATTTACATTATTCAGACTGATATCCTTATCTTCATTGCCATATTCATAACGTTTCAGCCATTGTACTCCCCGGCCTTCGTCAAGTGATTGGGATTTCGAACCGAATCCTTTATTTCGTCCACCGGGGTAGATTGTTACATAACAGGGAGAGAAGGTCAGAATAACCAACAGATATCCCATATCAATGAACATCTGATGATGACCGGAGTTTACTTAGTCGAAACGTCGTGTCTATAATAACATCTATATCAATCAAGAGAAGAACAATACTTAGAAATAATACAAGTATTTTGACAATTACTCATCTCTGAAATGAAATACTATACTTATGAGCAGTATTTTAATTTTAATTTGTCCCCGATCATAAGCATTTGAAGAAACGGAAATTCTGTTTTTATTGACTGAGATTACGGCGGCTATTAAGGATTTTGAGCGAGGGGAAGGATCCAAATTAACTTCCTTTTCGTTCGGTAACTCTTCCGAATAGCAATGTCAGTTCACGTTTTCATTCTCCTTGATCGATTCTTAACAAGACTTCAGAAGGATAAAATTTACCAATTTAATTCCATTAAAAATATTTTTCCAGACATTTAACTTTCAGAAATCCAAAACATGACTAAATGCCCTGTTATTTGATTACAATAGAATTTTGTTTCCTTTTACGTAATGTTTCGGTTTTTGACTTTCAAAAGCAAGAGAGGAGAAGCAAAGTGCCCGATTGTTCAAATACTTATAATGAGTACTGAATATATATATATACATATATATATATATATATATATATATATATATATATATATATATATATATATATATATATATATATATATATATATATATATATATATATATGAAGAAAAAATATATACGGAAAAAACAAACAAAAATCCTTATATACAATTATGCTGTTTTAATGTTAATATGTCAACGTCGGACGTTTCGATCTAATAAACCATCTTCAGGACATATTCATAAATTATAACATATATGTCCTGAAGATGGTTAGAAAGAAGTAAATCTATATTTTTAAGGTTTTATTGAAATTTTATTTAAGTTTCCATATGTCCTCCATCATTAGCAATACAAAGGGTAATACGATTTTGCAGTTCACGGAAAACATTTGCCAAGTGATTTACAGTAATGCCTGAAATCACATTAGTTATTTTAGCTATACTTAAAACTAGGTACATTAAATTGTATGACATTTTTTACAGATTATTTCTATCGCAAATACAAATAAAGTTATAAATTTTTTAAAGTGCACACGAACTTTATGGACACCCTGTATTTCACACAGAGTAAAATATAAAAATAAATTAAAAAATAATGAAAATGGCTAAAGAAGTGTCCGAGGGTGTTTTTCACTTCACAGTTGAAAAATTTAACTTTCAGATGAACACAACAATTTGGATTTAGAAAAAAAATAACACTCTGAAGATGACATTGTGCTAATATATGTGTGTGTTTTCTTAATGTTCAAATATATGACTGTTTAGTTGAATGAACCGTAAATATAAATTAAACATTTTTAGAGTTTTTCAAATTAAATAATTGCTTTCTTTAATAATAATTTGAAAATATGCACCTGAGTCAATTAAATTGGGAAATGCGATCCTTCGAATATTAACCCCAAATAATTTATGTAAATCAGCAGCGAGGTGTGTCCTAACGTTTGGAAAAATTATTAGAAAATAATGCATATTTATTTTATTCTAAGACTAAAGATTTGCTGTCGATTGCAGAGGTTGCGCATTACTACACGTAATGTAATCTTTTCGGGATTTCGTATTTAAAAAATAATCAATTCTGAATTAATTTATGCATTCTGCAACGATGCGAATATTCCAATTATAAAAGTATGAAAAATAATCTAAAAACAATTTTAATGTATTTCTTTGTGGAGTTATGGCACATACACACAAACATACACATACATATATATATATATATATATATATATATATATATATATATATATAATATAAAGATCTCAAAGGAGATACTTATGGGCAAAAGGAAAGAAAGGAAGAAAAAATTCTCAAAGGAGAATGCTGCCACACCGAGATGGAGGAGGGAGAGAGAGAGAGAGAGAGAGAGAGAGAGCAGTTTCAACTTAATCGTCACCCAAGCCCCTAAACAATGGACGAAAGGGAAATGAAAGAAAGTAAGAAAAGACCACTTTAAACGAGAATGCTGCTACACCGAGACGAAAGAAAGAAGGAAAGCAGTTTCAACTTAATCGTCGGACAAACCCCTAGACATGACGAAAAGAGAAAGAGAGGAAGTAAGAAAAGACCTCAAAAGGAGACGCTTATAAAAAAAAATAGAAAAGGAAAAAGAGAAAAAGAGAAGAAATTTAAATTCAGTTTTTTTTTTTATTAAACTAAAAACGTGGAACCCGGAAAAAATTATTCACAATTAACTGTTTTGCTATATTTTATACAACTCCATCTTAAAGACATTTTAACTTGGAATTTGCATGCTCAAGTCTTATCAAACATCTTAAATTTTGTCAATATTGTCAGATTAACCATTCGGTCGAATTAGCAAATGACATGAGTAACAGTAAAATTACGAAGAAGAAAAGAAATCTCGAACCACTTATTATACATCTGAAATATCCCTTAATTACAGTGAAACACAAACTCAAATGAAATATTAAATACGAAGAGAATGTTTTCTTCATGTTTTAATGGAAGTAAAAGATGGCCTGACGAAAGGAAGATTACAAGACATGTATTTATATCGATTTACTAAGCGTAGAATAGATGGGACACAAGGTCGAAAGTTATTTACATTATTCAGACTATTGTCCTCATCTTTGTTCCCATATTTATCACAACGTTTCGGCCGTTGTACGCTTCGGCCTTCTTCAGATGGTTGGAATGCCGAACTGAACCATTTATTTCGCTCACTGGTGTAGACTGTTCTAGTTCCACGTGCCATGTCTAACGGATGTCAGTTATCAGTTATCTCCTGTTAATTCCCCTCTCCAAGTTCTCCACTTCCTTTATCCACTGTGCCATGTGTCTTCGAGGACACATGGCACAGTGGATAAAGGCGTTAGTTAGATCCAGTGACAGGACCCAAGTAGTGTGAGTTCAATACCTGGTTAAGGCGGTGGAGATCTTGGAGAGGGCAATTAACAGGAGATAGCTGATAACTGACATCGATTAGACATGGCACGTGGAACTAGAACAGTCTACACCAGTGAGCGAAATAAAGGGTTCAGTTCGACATTCCAACCACCTGAAGAAGGCTGGGGCGTATAACGGTTGAAACGTTGTGTTAAATATGTCGACAAAGATGAGGACAATAGTCCGAATAATGTAAATAGTGTACATAATACCTCATATCAGAAATATAGACATACTGAAGGTCGAAAGCACGGAGCACCCAAAACATTTCTTTCTTTTTTATGTTCCATGTCCTTTCAGGGCGTGGGCGATCATGGCTCTCCATCTCCCTCTATCCCTTGCAGCTCTCAACAAGGTTCTTCCCTCTACTTCCTTCCCCAGACCACGTTCTGTCCTCCACCCGCCCAAGTATGCGAGGTATATCACGCGCTGTTTTCCCGTGTCTCTCTTTCCCTCTATTCGACCTGTGAGTATCATATTCTCCAGGCCCTCCTTCCTCATCATGTGTCCAAGAAACTTCAGCTGACTCTTCCTGATGTTTTGGGTGCTCCATGCTTTTTTCCTGCAGTAGTTTGCCATTTCTTTGTGGGGTAGACTAGTTGCCATTCATGGCTATAGAACCCGGTCTTTCCTACTATTTGCCCATAGCTTAGAAAAGCTATACTTCATACTTTTCCCAAGGGTATTAGCACGTAAGTGAATGTAATGGATTCGACTGGAATTCGAACTCGGCTATCCGATTCTCCTGTAGTTTGACGCGTGTTGCCCGTACCAAGGTTCGTGGTGTACAAGTTTAATTTAATGTCTTTTGGCGAGATGACCGTATTTCCGACAGAAACAGTTTTTGTTGCATGCTGGAAGTATTTTTATTATTTTAATTTTTATTTAATTTATTTTATATAACGTTTTTATGGTATTGTTTTATTTTATTTTATTTACCATTTTCATTATTATTTCTTGGTGTTTTATTTTCTTATAATAATAATAATAATAATAATAATATCCCAACAAATTAAATGGAATATTTTGATATATTTGTTTATGAGAGGCAGTGACAAAATTTTGAGTGCTACGATTTCTTAAAGGAATTAGAAACAAAATTGATCGATGTTCTTTAACTTTTTGCAGGCACCGGAACTTACAATTTCCTTTCGTCATATATTCTCTATTTGCGAGCAAGGAATGTGTTGATACAAATTATCGCAGCTTCATCATTTGCGTAATGTTAGGGCAATCTTCGAAGTGTCAGTACTATATTGCATGAACATACATACTGTTCTAGAATCTCTTGCAGATATGTTATGGGTGAATAGAAAATACACATTGTCAAATTCGATGTCACTTATTTTGTGGCCTCATGCCAATCTACGCAAATCTTAGCATATAAGAAACAGAAGTTAAGCAACTTACAGTAGTTACAGGGTTGACCACGTCGTCACTCTAAAGACTGTATGTAGTGATTTTCCAAGCGTAGTTCAGATGTGGCAAATGGCCGAAAGTATGGGGTAACCAGTGAGGATCGAACTCACTACTCAGTCGTAATAGTTCTAGCGAGACAAGCTTGCTAACCATTACACCACCTCGAGGTGACCACTCTAAAGATCGTATGTATCTTGGTACTATTGACCATTCTAAGTAAAAACTTAGTATATAAGATAAAAAAATTAATCGAATCTAATCACTATATCAATGGAAATACAAGCACTGTAATAATTACTGTCAGGCTTAATATACATATATTGAATGCTGAAGTTAAGCAGCATCGAAAATGGTAGGCACTTACATAGGTGACCAGTTAGGAAATCCAAGCACTGTAATCATTCCGTGGCTTTGTTCTAGACTAAAAAATATATTAAGATACAGGAGGTAAGCAACATCAAAAATGGTTAGTACATATATGGGTGACCAGTTAGGAACTTTAAACACTGCTAGACTAAAAAAGTATATAAAATACGAAAGGTAAGCAACATTGAAAATGCTCAATAATTAGAGGGGAGACCAATTAAGAACATCAGGTATTGTAATAATCTTGTGGTCATGTATATAAGATAGAGAAGTAAAGCAACGTGGAAACTGCTCAGTGTGTATATGGGTAACAAGTGAGGAAATATAAGGCCTGACTTCACCTTGAGACCTGTGTCAGATTAGTATATATGGTATGAGAGTTAAGCAACCTTGTACAAGTTTAGTACTTAGATGGGTGGTTACTTATGAACTCCAAACACGGCAATCATTTTTGCAGCGTCAAATGTAATCAGTTTTCTATGTACCGCGTGTTCATGGCTCTCCCCGACTTCTTATCCTTTGTGGTTCACTGTTGTATTTCTCTCTTTGCCATGCCTCCTACACCGCATTACGCTATTCCTTTACACATGCTCGTCAGACAAGTGGCTAGCTGCTTTCCCCTATCTCTCTTGCCCACAATATGACTTCGGAGGGTTAAATTTCCAAGCCTTTCTGAGAACTCGGAGAGCCGAGTTCGAATTCCAGCTGAGTTCGTTACATTCTTTTACTTTTGGAGACATTATGAACCCATCTCCTCCGACCAGCTATGGGTTAAATAGTACCACTTATATCTGGAAAATTATTATTTTCAAGAAATTGTTAATACAATTTTCATTCCTAAAGATAATTATTCTTGCAATAGAAAATATGTTTCGGCTTTAAAGGGTTAATAACTCATAAAAAACAAATCTTTCAATGAGACTTTTAAAATACAGAGGTAATGAAGGTAATTCGAGTCCTTGGATGTAGCATGGCGTTTCTAACTGTAAAGGTCTGAACTGGGGAACGAAAGAATGCAGTTCATTTGAATATTTGCCGTAAAAATAACGATAGAATGGGTATGGGTTTGCGAAATTGCGTTTGTGGGAAAGAGGTTGTTGAGTGGAAAATTTACCCAATGAAAAGTTGACGTTGTTAACATTATATGCAACTGTTCTTATATTTTGACAACGTTAAGAAACAGCTTGGAAGTCGGTATGAAGAAGTATAAATTGAAGACATAATAAAATCCTTTGCACTTTGTTTAATCAAATATCGATTCCTTATAAATCTTTTTTTTTGTTTTTAGTCACTGAAAATGGAATTACTTGATGTTTTAAAATTGCTATCTGGATGTTCATTTTCATAAAACCTACCAACCTACACGTTCGGATACACAACGAAGAATCCATTCAGACTTGTGCGTCGAGTGTGCTGCACTTTCTTTTTTCATATTAACTCCTATTTGATCGATATCCATTAGGTTGACATTAATATGTATTTAACATTGTTTGCATCCCGTCAGATGCTCGCATATAACATTTCGCTGTGATATTTTGACATTCTTTAAAAAGCTCGGCCCAGAAAAGTCGATCAAATCTCGGATGATTCATTTGATAATTGTATTATATTTGCACGCCATTTATCTCCAATTTTACATTTCCTTCCTTTGTTTTCAGACACACACACAAACATATATATATATATATATATATATATATATATATATATATATATATATTGCTGCAGATAATTATTTATACATATTTTTTAAATATAATAGACAATGAATGTTTATTATGTCTGATCACGAGCCGTTCTAATGTTCAAATGTTTGCTTTAATTTCTGGTGAAAATAAAAACAAAAGTTGTCCAACATTTGGATATTTTTTTTAAAAGTTGGTCCTAAGCTTCTGTAACATATGAGCCATCCTCAGAACGGTTATACAGGCATGAAACAAAGATATCTACCGTCAAAGATGATATTTTGTTATTTTGACACAGAAAATAACGGTCGCGCAATAGCAAACGCAATTCGTATGTTCAAGATGCGGTTCTATGACGTCATACCACGTGATAGACCGAAGCATTACAATAGAACCAATGTCTAGATGCAATGTAATGTGTTGTGACTAGTTTGAAATGTAATTTTGTTGGATTTTTGGGTTGCTTCGTTTTAAGGTAGATGCTCTCCAATATCTAAAGTTACTTTTTACTGTGTGTATTTGTGAGTATTACTGCGTTATCGACTAATATCTGACTAATATTATGTACATGGCTATGCTTTTCTAAGAAATGTTGTTTAATAGGACTCAGATCAGAAAGGTGACAGTTTTTAGACTCGTGAACAGACATAATAGACATTCGGCATATCAACTCCTTATGGGTCATTTAACGCCGAAATTTAATTTTCGTAGGAGCATTCGTAATTTCGTTTTCAAAAATGTATTACTGATATTATTTTATTTTTAATACACTTTTTTACAATATATTTTTTTTACAAAAAGTTTATTTTTGTGTGAAATATGTATTGCTGCTTTTTTTTTTTGGTTTGTTTTTTTACAAAAACGTATTGCTGTTAGTGATATTTTGTTTTACTGTTTTTTAATTTAAAAAATGTATTGGTGGTATTTTGACAAAAAAATCTATTTTTACACTTTCGCAGTTTGGGGGTTAACTTTTTTGATCATTGTTGTGACCCTAACAGGTGCTACCACCCGCGTCAGAGTGGACCTGGGAGTAACGGCAATTAAGAGGCGGTTTCACGGTCCTCACAACCTCCCGTGCTGCTGGATGCATCTTTACCCAGGACGAGTGTGTGTGTGTGTGTGTGTTGTGTGTGTGTCTGTATATATGTGAATTAAGAGTAATTTGACAGCAATCTTTCATTCAAATAATTCTATTAAAGCAAATAATATTCTATTAAATAAAATGCAACGTCAAAAGGATCAATAGATAATTCTTGTCCGGTTTATAGAAAACACACACACACACACACACACACACACACACACACACACACACACACATATATATATATATATATAGGATGTGTTGCATATGTCCTCTAAATTGCGCAAAATGAAAATAACACTGACGTCTCATTTTAACAGAAACATTTAACAAAATTACACAATAATATCTTGAAATACTAAAGAGTAAATTAAAATAAATAAAATAAAATCGCAATTGGCTTAAACAACGGCCTACAGACATTTTCGGAATCTCCTGTAACTCTTCTGGACAGTCGCCTTGTCAAGTTGGTGAATGCTGCCATAATCCTTGCCTTCAGTTCATGTTTGGTTTCACAAAGAGTTTTGCTGATTTCTCGCTCAACTACACCCCACATAATAATCATGGCGATTGCAGTGAGAGGAGTTAAATGGCCTGATGTAAGGTGTGATGTGGTTGCAGAAATTGTCTGACGGCTGTGACTCGGTTCTTCTGTTTGTGTGGCATGGTGCAGAGTTATCTTGCTAGACATAGGGTATTTTGGCAACCGCCCTCTCGAACCAGGGCAGTACTAGCTCCTCAAGTCGCTTTGTATAGACCTCCATGTTGAGTCTGGGGGCCCTCACCTACAAGTTGGTGAGTTCCTTTCAGAACGATCAGAGTGAGTTTTCAAACCTGCCGTACCTTCGTAATCACCATTAGCCTCACCCAACTCTTAAAACGACAATTTACCCATCGCACATTGTATATATGATAGAAATATAGTTTTAACGTATGCTATATTTATATATAAAAGTGCTCAACATCAGAGTGTATATGAATATAAATGTGAACATTGAGTTCAGCACAAAGCGGTGACAGCCTGTTTCATGCTTAAATACAATCTTCAGGCATGAACTCAAACATGAAACACTGGGACAAGTGAGAAACACACAACTATCTAAAATACCAAACAATCACTACCAACCTATCTCAGTCAGTTTATATCTATCTATCTATCTATCTATCTATCTATCTATCTATCTATGTCTATTACACATTTGTCTATCTTGTTTTTAGTAATATCTATCTATCTATCTATCTATCTATCTATCTATCTATCTATCTATCTATGTCTTTTACATCTTGTTTTTATCTTATCTTTATCTATCTATCTATCTATCTATCTATCTATCTATCTATCTATCTATGTCTATTACACATTTGTCTATCTTGTTTTTAGTAATATCTATCTATCTATCTATCTATCTATCTATCTATCTATCTATCTATCTATCTATCTGTTTTTGTCATATGAGCTTTATATAAGCAATCTGACGGTTTTTCGCCTAGTATTTTCGCCTTCTTTTACTGTTTTTATAAAAAATATATCCATATTACTTGCTGCTTATTAAGCTTAAGATCCAATGACGAGACGCAGTGGCAGGAGACTATTTCATATGTAGACGAGCTGAAAATTGCTCTTCGAAATCAAAGCTTTTCACATATACTCCAACACACATACACACTCATACACATATACATACACACAAAAACACTCACACACACACACGCATATATATATATATATATATATATATATATATATATAGAGAGAGAGAGAGAGAGAGAGAGAGAGATAGATAGATAGATAGATAGATATATCGGCTCAGCTTAGAACTGAGAGAAATTGAAATCGTGTTATGTTAATTCACCTAATAGTAAGAACAGGCTTTGAAATTCAACATAAAACGAAATACTGGCCTTTAACTGCGCTTGAATACTGACTGACTGCAGGTTCCAGTGGAAAATTCGAAAGTAACTCCTCTATGTTATAGCTTAGACTGGCGCCAAGCCCACTGTGGCTGAGCGGAAGAGAAAGATTGTATTCCGTCAACCTCCCACGTAAGGATAGATTCCTTGCCTGGGAAATCAGAATTCCATAAAAGAAAAAAAATTGAACTCAAAACATTAACCACAGGAACAAGTGAGACTTACACAACTATCTCAACTACCAAACAGTCAGTACCTACCTATCTTGGCTAGTTCATATCTACGTCTGATCATTATCTATCTATCTATCTATCTATCTATCTATCTCTCTATCTCGTTCTTGTCATTATCTATCTATCTATCTATCTATCTATCTATCTCTCTATCTCGTTCTTGTCATTATCTATCTATCTATCTATCTATCTATCTATGCTTATTACACACCTGCTTATCTATCATTCCCGTTTTTAGTAAATTTCTATCTATCTATCTATCTATCTATCTATCTATCTATCTATCTATCTATCTATCTATCTTTGTTTATTGCACATCTACCTATCTATCTTTCTTGTTTTTAGTAATATATATCTATCGTTTTTTGTCATGTGAGCCATATGTCAGCAATCTGACGGTGCATCACTAGTTTTTTTCGCTTTCTTTTGCTGTTTTTTATTAAAAAGATAAATCTATTTTACTTGATGCTTATTAAGCTTAAGATCAAATAAGAGAGCATGGTGGCAGCAAGGCTATTTCAAACGTAGACGGTTTGAAAATTACTGTTCGAAATCAAAGCTTTTGACATATACTCCAATAACAATTACTTACTTCCAGAGTGAAATACACAACTATCTTTGCCACCATGCAGGCACGAGATTTTCACTTAACATGATTATATTTGCACCCGACTATTCTTTTTAATCATGATATGCAACGAAGCAAACGCTATTTTAGGTTTGAAGATAGGCAAGCATCCACTCCTATCTGTTTCCTCTACAGAGAGAGGCTCTCAAATCTATCAGTAAGAGAAATATATATCTTTTTCTTACTTTACTTTTCTTGAACGAGAAATAATCCATTTATTTGATATTAACGTAAAGCAATGGCGCCTGGGTTCCTTTCTAATACACACTTTGGGACCACACACACTTATCCCAACTTCTTTTCGCCTTTTTGTTTTATTTATAACGTTCGTTCTCATCTTTATTGCCATATTCACGGCGTTTCGGGCGTCGTACGCTCCGACCTTCTTCAGGTGATATTTGTAGGAATTTTGAACCGAATTTTATTGTTCTAATAGATTTTATATTATAAAATCTATTAGAATAATAAAATAGATAAAATATCACCTGAAGAAGATCGGAGCGTACAATGGCCGAAACGTCGTAAATATGGCAATAAAGTTGAGGACAACAGCTCGAACAATATAAATAGTGTAAATAGGAAGAGTCTTCTTTAAGAGAGAGATGTGGACTGTAAATCTGTAATCATAAAAATCCAGACATTTCTTCAGTGAAGTGGGCAGTTTTTTTACCTATCTTGGAATTTTGGATAAAAGTGCGATTTATTTAGTCCGGGAGTGAATAGATTGTTCTAATTCCACGTGCCATGCCTTTTTTTGGATATCTCAATCTCAGATAAAATCCTCTTAGTAGTTCAATTCTTCAAATTTTTTGCTCTCTCTGCTGTGCCCAGAACTTACAACTATTTGGGTAAAGTCAATTTTTCGATTACTCAACCAACGATTTTATCCAATGGGCTATGTACCTCTTCGCCTTTTCAAAACAGTTCGCAAACACTTCTTTCGGGATCACCATCAGCTGCACAGTCGCATTCTTCTTAATCTTTTCCGCCGTTTGAGATAATGAGATGATAACCCATTTTGACCAGAAGCCGCAAGAGGATAAATCTAGATTGTAGTCAGTTGTGTTGACACGTGGAAATTTTGAATTTCGTCGTCGAATTCGTGTTCGTCATTGATTTTCGTTCTCGTAAGGGTATGGGGAGGACCTCTTATTTTCCATTAATATTAAGTTGGCTCGTAACACTGATTCTTGCCTGGAATCGACCTGGATAATGAGGACGAGCAATTATTTCCGGAGGGCGTGGCACTTTGCCCACCCTCATCGCTCGTGTTTCATTTATTGACTGTTGTCCTTTCTCCGCACAACCATATAATGTCGCGCCAGGATATGTAGTCCAATGTTTGGATTACTCAAACAACGCTTATATTCACTTGGCCTTAACCCATTAACTGCCAATTTTTTTTAATGCGCATTTTTGGCCCAGGCAGGTGTTTAGGAGTTTATTTGTTCCTTATGTTTAATTTCAGTAGTTACCATTGTCATTTTTATAGAAACTAGAATATCAAATATATATGTGTATAAAACATCAAAAAATAATATTGATTAGAAATAATAAAAAAAACGCTTTTCAAAATAGTCATTATTTTTCTACTCGTGAAATGTAAAATTACGACAGAAAGTGTCTTCTTATGGCTAATAATAAAAATTTTAAAGGCTAAGTGTTGTAAAATATACCTCTGCAACTGCAATGCATGTAAGCAATTCAATGTAAATACAAGGAATAACATGTAGTGAGTTTAATTTTAACAGATCCCCAAATGGGGCTCATGGCAGGTAACGGGTTAATTTCAATCAACTCATATTTTTTCTCTATTTTCACTATTCATGTATTTTTCTCTATTTTCACTATTCATGTACAATTGTGTATTCTATTTGTTGTTGGGTAGGAATCAGCGTAAATCCTGATCTTCCCTACTAAAGCGACAATGGACTGCTCCTACTTAGGAATATATCAAGTAGCCACATTAGAATAGGCATTTGAGTAGTATTTGGTTTACTTAAGTATTTCCGTTCTATGTATGAGTATTTAATAAACCTCTTTCCCTACCTAGTCTTCTGTTCCTTCGATACTCTCTCTAACAACAGCCTTGTTAATTCTCAGCATATCGATATAGTGTTTCTCCAGGGTTTGTGGTTCAATGTTTCCTTTTCCTAAATTTGCTGGTCTAGCCCAGTGACATATAATAATCTCCTCTTGTCCTAGTCTTCGTAACAGTATTTTGGGCAGCCATTGCAAGGTTTCCATATAAACTACGGCGAGGCAGCCTCGTTATATATAATGAGATCATTTCTAAACAAATAGATTTGTTATTTATTAATACGGCAAGTTTAATCACTTAAAACCCTATACTGTTTCATAAATAAACAAAACGTCTATTTAATTATGGTTATCCACTAAAAATAACGTTTAAAGTGATAAATATAATGAAACAATTAGATCCTTGCAAAAATTCATGCCTGACTAGAAAATTAAAAACAACACTTTACCTACTCCTAAAAAAAACATTTATTAGTCAGTTACATAGTTTCCATTGTTGGTCTCTCGCTCGCCTGCGCTCCACACATCAATAATCAAGGGTGATGTGATCTCAGAAATTGTCTGACTGCTATGACTGGGTTCTCCTGTTTGTGTGACATAGTGCACAGTCCTTTTGCCAGGCACAGAGTTTTTCGGCAGCCACCCTCTTGACCCAAGACAGTACTACCTACTCAAGGCACTTGATGTAGACCTCCAGGTTGAGTCTGAGGCCCTCGCCTACAAATTCTTGAGTTCTTTTCTTATCAGAACAGAGTGAGTTTTCCGAGCTGCCGTGCCTTCGTAATCACCATTAGATTCCTCCAACTCTTTCCGAATCCTCTACACTGTCCTTAGATTGGCACCCAAACACTCTGAAATGTTTGTATTGAAGCTCCCGGTGCGAATGGCAAGCAGAACAGCATGCCGTTTCCAAATTTATGCCTTAGTGAATTACGTTATGCTGCTCTTTTCCTCACAGACCGTGGCCAACTGACCCTATAATACAGTACAGTCGACAAAATCAAAAACAAACAAAAGCCACCCGAGAAATTAAAAATAGCAAATGGCAACAATTTACCCATCGCACATTGTATATATGATAGAAATATAGTTTTAATATATGCTATATTTATGGGTAAAAGTGCTCACTATCAAAGTGTATGTAAATATAGAAATGGACATTGAGTTCAACACTAAGCGGTGATTGTTTCAATCTTCAGGCATGAACTCAAACATGAAACACTGGAACAAGTGAGAAACACACAACTATCTAAAATACCAAACAATCACTACCAACCTGTCTCAGTCAGTTCATATCTATCTCTGATCACTATCTATCTATCTATCTATCTATCTATCTATGTTTATTCAGTCATTTATGTGACATGCGTGATACACGATAAGCGATCATGTATCTTTTGATACATGACTGACGAGGCAGATGTTTTTTCTCGCAGTAAGTTGCCATTTCTTTCTGCTGTAGACCAGTTGTCACCCAAGGCTATAGAACCCGGTCTGTCCTGCTATTTACCCATAGCTGGGGGGAAGAAGTAGAGGTTTCATACTTTTCCCAATGGGATTAGCACGTAAGTGAATTAGTCAATTACATAGTTTCCATTGTTTTTTGACAAACGTCTCCCATCATTCTACAAGCTTGTTGATACCATTTTCGTAGAAACTTTGTACTTTTTGTTGGAAGAAGGTTGTAAGATAGTTTTCAACTGACTGTACAGAGTCAAAACTTTTGTCATTTAAATTGTTCTGTTGATAGCAGAAAGTCCGAAGGGTCCAAGCCAGGTGGATATGGTGGGTGTTGGAAGGTTTACCATTTCAAATCTTTAAGGTTCTGCGGGATTTTTTTGTAACATGTGGTCTTGCGTTGTCGAGCGGGAAAATGACACGTTTTCGATTTGCCAAAATCGGGCGTTTTTCTTGAACCCAAGTTTCTTGATGAAAAGCAGATGAGACATTGATTTTCAAATTCTTAACAACCGTTTACGTTAAAATCTTCGGTTTATTCTCCATGGTGTCAAGCAGGGCGTCTTTGTCGACGCCGGACGGTCCCAGGGAGCGTCGTTGATCGTTTAGGTTAAAATCACCCCCGACGAAATCTGCCAAACCACTTTCTGGCTGTTTGAAGAGCTGAGCCACGATCGAAATAAACCTCTGACTGTTTTTTCGTTGCAATTCCGACGTTTACTCCTTTCAAGAATTCATAGAGCCTAATTTTCACCCTTCATCTTTACGGCATTCATTTGCGAACAAACGTCTGACTCATAACTGAACGATGCAAGGAGGTTTGAATCGAGAACATGCCAGAAATCGACACCAAAAAACAAAAACAAAAAAAAAAAACGCCAGTGTCAAGTGGCGGTCATTTGATATTACCAATGAAAATCGGGTACGACTTTTTGCAATGATCTGATAATGTATTTGTCTACATTTCTGAGATGAGGTATTATGTACACTATTTACATTATTCGGACTATTATCCTCATCTTTGTCGCCATATTTATTACAATATATAATACAATGTATTTGTAATAAATATGATGACATATTTATTACAACGTTCCTGCCGTTGTACGCTCCGGCCTTCTTCAGGTGGTTGGAATGTCGAACTAAACCCTTTATTTCGCTCATTGGAGTAGACTGTTCCAGTTGTCCGTACCATGGATGTCAGTTATCAGTTATCTCCTGTTAATTCCCCTCTCCAAGTTCTCACACTCTTTCGGTCCTGTCACTGGATCTAACACCTTTATCCACTGTGCCATGTGTCCTTAAGGACATCTGTTTATGAGTTTCTGGGTATTATAAACCTAATTTTTTACCAGTGCTCATATTGCAATTTTTCCAGTTATCATTTCATGTTTTACCAGAGCTCATATTTCAATTTTTTGTTGTTATTATTGCTTTTCTCTGGCACTCCTTATTACTGGTTACCATATTGTATTCCTTTCTATGCTTGGTCGGCTCAGAAGATTTTTGTGGCCTAGCATATGTGCTGATTCTTTAAGTTTACGAATTTTCCAATGATCTGATAATGTATATATTGTATCACCAAGCAGACTCTGAATTTTTTTCAATCATGATGAACAGTTGCTGGTTAAATAGCCGGCCCCTCTTGTCGCTTTAAAAAGTACCGGACATCTTCTGTCATTACTTCTTCTTTACAAGAATCAAATCAAACCAAAGATGAGGTATCACTGTCATATCTGGGCTGGAGCTCCCTGATCCTCCATCTGATTTCCATCTTTGGTAGACTTTAAAAGCGTTTATGAGGCCTTATGTGGGGTAAATTATTTCCCACTCTGCAACCTCTTTCCCGCAGACGAAACGTTGCAGCTATTTTCATATCTATGGGTTACATTTCTTAGTTCTACCATTAGTAAGGAGGAAGTTATATTCTGATAATTCTCAAGAACTGTTACTTTGTGGAACAGAAACCTGATCCGATCAGTAAGATCTTAACATCAACAAGTCTAGATTCTACCGTTATCTATCCCATATATCCCCATAATATGCAGTTCTTCTTTCCTTTACAACAATTGCATTCAGTATTACTCTACTTTGAGTGGCTCTTTGGTCTTGTATTGAGTGACTTATTAAATAAATTTAATTTATAATTAGTGACAAGACCCAAAGAGTGTGAGTTTAATACCTGGTTAAGGCGGCGGAGAACTTGGAGAGGGTAATTAACAGGAGATAACTGATAACTGACATCCATAAGACATGGCACGTGGAACTAGAACAGTCTACACCAGTGAGCGAAATAAAGGGTTTGACATTCCAACCACCTGAAGAAGGCCGGAGCGTACAACAGCCGAAACGTTGTAATAAATAAGGCGGCAAAGATGAATAAGACACAGAAATGAAGAAAGCAAGGAAAATAAAATCTACAGGCATTGCTTGGAAGACGAAGGACTTCTTATTTATCTTGTAGTGAGGTATTGTTACTCCTACAGAGAATAATAGTTTTAGTTGCATAATATAAGAACAAAATTAAAATGTAATAAAAAGTAGCTTATGGTCGAAGTTTACAGCTGTCAGCTCCAGACAGCCTGAATACAAATAAAAATTTTATTTTATTTTGTATTCGCTCAATGTATTTTAGTTATATGACCTAAAGTGCGCAGCAGCTGTTAAAAGATCTGTCAGCGTCCTTCTCTTCGGGTTGATCCAATATGTTACTCGTATTTTTAACAGTTTATTTCGGTGTACGTAGGAAAGATTTTCTGAAAGTTTCATTTGCAGATTTAATGTTAATTATTGGCCACTTTAGAATCTTTGCTGTTTTTCTCAGAACATCTGCTGATGCTTTAAATAATGAAGTAATGGATAGAAGCACAGATTGAGAAATCGAAGAGCCGAGTTCGAATTCCAGTCAAATACATTACCTTCACTTACGTGCTAATAACCTTGGGAAAGGTATGAATCCTATTCTTCTCCCACCAATTATGGGTAAATAGCAGGACAGACCGAGTTCTATAGCCTTGGATGTCAACTGGTCTACCGCAGAAAGAAATGGCAACCTACTGCGGGAAAAATCTGCCTTGTCAGTCATGTATCGAAAGGTAATATGATCGCCTTAGCATGTATCACGCATGGCACATAACTGACTGACATGCTAATTGTTATGGGACCTTACCCATAATAACGTAATGGACTATTCCATACGTAATAAATACTGCGCCTCAAGAGGAAGCAGGGAGTTCTGTCTGAAGTCGGCGACCGGCTGACCGGCTGATCGGTTGAACTCTTGCCTTCGGGCGGGGAGGAACCCGAACGAGGCTACGCCGAATGGCGGAGTCTCTTTCGGGGAGGTAAACGAAACGGGTTCAAAGGGCATATTTTTGACCGAACTCACGGGCTCGGAGATCCCACGTTAAACCGGCCTTGTGCCACATGATGCCCCCGTGGTACAAATAACGTTCCGTCTGAAGACTGGGGTGAAGTCTGAAGTCTGGAATGAAGTCCGTCAGGAGTCAGTCAGTCAGAGCGAGCGAGTCAGTCAGTCGAGTCAGAGGCAGTCCGAAACAGAGTCGTGTTCAGACAATTACTACTAAACCTGATTGTTCGTACTAACACTTTCTACTTCTCTGTATATATTCCTGTTTGTAATATATCTGTTTTATTTCATATCCGTGTTCGAGTTCTTCTTTATTGGTTCTGCCTTGGACCATCACCGTGATACAAGGAATTGGACCATAACAATAATACTCTTGGGAAAGATATGAATCCTCTTTTCCCACCAGCTCGGGGTAAATAACAGGACAGACCCGGTTCTATAACCTTGGATGGCAACTGGTCTACCGCAGAAAGAAATGGCAACCAACTGCGGGAAAAATCTGCCCCGTTAGTCATGTATCGAAAGATACATGATCGCCTAAGCGTGTATCACGCATGGTGCATAATTGACTGACTTCTTGTTGCTTAACCCATATCCTTCTCGCTTCAGTTTAAATTGACACCATTTTATTATAAATTAGGGTCATTTTGCTTTAAATTCAGGTTTTTCTGATTTCAAATGAGAATTTGAGAATATTTCAACATATTTTAGTGAAATTTTCCCTTTTTAATATTATACTTTCTAACTATGCCTTAGATGTATGGAAAAAAAGAAGACTCCAATTTAAAACGACGCCAAGAGTATCTGATATAAAGAAAGAAAGATAGAGAGGCAGACAAATATAAAAAATATTAATCCATATCCCCTGCAGCGTGAGAGAGCAAGGGATAAAAGATTCATTTTCCCATTTTCTTGTCTCCTTTTATGGGCATTATTATATGCATGATATAATAACACCGTATCATACGGACGGAATGGTTGAAAGGAAAAAGCAATGACAAAAATGCTTTGTTCTCAGAGAGATTTTATATCACTAGTAATTTTTTTCCATGAGAATTTTACTATATTGTCGACATTGAAAAAAAACTCTTAGTATAAAAAAGTAAACATTAGCCAGAAAGAGGCTTACGCAAAAGCGTCTCTCTCTTTTTTAAATTTTGTATTTAATGTAACTGAAAATAAAAATATTTCGCTTCAATTTCGCTTTTCGATTCCTATAATCATTCTTATACCAATTTGTCTTATCCACAGAATTGTTCTAGTAATTTTAATATATATATATATATATATATATATTAATGTATATATAATTTAATATATATATATATATTTATATATATTAATATATATATATATATATTAATATATATATTAATATATATATATATTTTAATATATATATTAATATATATATATATTTAATATATATATATATATATATAATGCGCAACTAGGCCTTTTAGTCTATCGTAGACTAAAGAACCTTAAGGAAATAAGTCGTAACCAAATTTCAGACGATAAAGTAACACGAAATAGACCAAGAATAAAAACAAC